CTTTACACCAAGGAACACTTCAAATAATACACTAATTTAATGTACATACATAATAGACCAAATCCTGTCCACACTTTGCAAGGTAAAATGATACACAATGAAGCATTTGAAAGAGAATCCAGGAAACATATCTTATGTCATGATTATAAAGGTCCTTTATACTCCCTTTTAGCCCCAAGAAATCATGCTTTTAAAAAAATTCTGTTAGTACTGTTAGTAAGTCATAAGCAGCTTAAAGAATACAATGTAAAATTGGGACACATCATTCTTTCTTTAATACATTTAATGTACACCAAATTTGCGACATTTAGTCATTTGTGTAAGAAACTAATTAATCAACATATTGTGAAGAATGAGTTAAAGGCCAAATTACTCAGATCAATGAAATATATTCAGTAATTTAATGCCAGAGAAATTATGTAGGTCTATTTAGCTGTTTGACTCTAGTAGCTTATATTTTCCTAGGTAGTTTCAAAATTAAGATAAAATCTTTCAAAATATACTATTTAAATCCTTGTCTCTACTCACATATGAATGGAATTACATTTCACTATATAAGAAACATCAGTACTTTTTTTCCCCAAAATATCAGGGAGTATAAAGAACTTTACATTCTTCTTTTGATAGATAAAAATAGAAAAAAACAAACAAACAAACAAAAAAAAAACTTCTTTCTTTTTCAGTATTTATAGAAAAAAAGAAACATGATTACAACAAAAAATATTTTTTTAATGGTTAAAGTAGTGGAACAACATGATTACAATCAACATAAAAACCCATTAAAATTATTTTATATCATCTAACTTTTCAGCAGAGTGATGGATAATTATAATTATTTTCTCAACAATACTATAGTAGTGAATATTTTCCAAAAAATGATCTAAAGTGTTTTTTTTTGTTGTTGTTGCTGTTTGTATTTTTGATTTTAAAGAAAATATCTTGCCCTTGGATACCTTTCAGAGGGTAGCTTGGATAGTTCAGCTTCACTTCCAAACTCCCGGAGATGATGTTTAAATTCTTCAGCAATCAGACAGGGCAAGTAATTCCATGTTTCATGATTGATACATTAACCATCAGTTTGTACATCAAGACACATTATATTACATCACACTTGTTGGCATTCAGAGGAAGCAAATCGAGAAACAGCATGATAAAACTTTATTTTTTATTACACTGCACTGTTCCTTCCACAAATTTAAAATTTCGATTGCAAGATTACAGCTAAAGTAAGCATGGGGTTCAGTGGGACATACTTTTTAAGGTGGTTTTTGTTTTGCTTGCTTTTATAGTGGGAAATCCAGATTATAAGCTAAATGATCTTAGCCAAATTTTGAAATCACAAATCATTGGAGTTTTTTGGAAGGGGAATAGAATTATGTTGTTCCTAGAAAGTTATATCTCACTGTAGATTTCAATAGTTGATGTCCTGGAATCAGTCTAGGACAAGAAAAATAACATGTTATCAAAATCAGATGGTTGTGTTCTAGGAGTCTTAGTTGCCAAACATGCTACATGGCTAAAATTCACATTGCTAAAATACAGATGCACAATATCAAGGTTATGGAATGTAACAGTAGTAAATACCAAGCCTATTCCAAGCTAACTCAGACTCCTCTTACCATTTTGAATCCATGTATAATACCTACACTCATGTAACCATGAATTATTTCTTTTTGAAATGAAGTACCTCAAATACATGACTAAGACAGTGACTTGCACACAGAGGCCCTTTCAAAATAATAAGTTCATTTTTGTTCCCCTATTTTTCAAATGTATAGTCTTCACAATATTTTAATGGAAGAACTGTGTTAAGCAAGATTTCATTTTGGCATTGTATCTCTTTTATACAACAATTATCAAAACTGATTCTAAAATGATTACTCTTATTGTTTTTCTAGAATCGCACCAAACACTATCTGCTTGCTCTGAAAGATGTTAATATAAAGTACACTGTAAGATCATCTTTTAGATTTCATGTTTTAATTTCTACTATAATATATGCATACAAAAATGCCTTCCAGAATACTTGTAAAAATTTATATCAAAGAGGATCCTCATATTCCCCAGGTATAAATGGTTTTGTGCAATAGATACGTTTCTATCTAAAGAATGTTCCATATTTTTTCAGAACACGAGTCAGAAAAAAAGAAAAAAAACTATAGAAAGTATTTGATTCCCTTTTTAAAAGCATGAAAGTTTTTATAAATCCCCTTATATCTTACTGCATCCTAGAACTATTTAATTTCTTCACTTTCATATTTCTATTCACATGAGTAATGAACTAAACAGAAATATCACCCTAAACCCTCCTTTTGAAAATATATTTCTCACTTTGTTTAAAATCAATTGAATATAATTCTGCTTTCGGATAACAGTAATAATTTATTCCACTGTCAGAATTTCTTTAAGGAACAATGGATTTTTATTTTACTGTCTGACACTTTTCCTCATTTTGTATGATGTTTCTTTAAAAAGAAGACACCTACTGTATTTGAATTTTTATAAATACATGAGTTCTTTTTCAGTGCTCACTTAACTTTTTCGCATTCTGCAACATCACTGAATATAAGATGCCTCTCCTGACGTCAATCAGAAATTGAAGCGTATACAGAAAGGGTGAAGAACATTGCAAATGTAGCACATAATACAAGGATTCAAATTATTTTTAGTATCACATTAGTCTCCCTAAGTTCACCAATTCATGTCCAGAAGATATTTAGTAATTAATCTGAAACATCTGTGAACCAATGACATAAAATATACAATTTACCTATATTTTTAAGATGAGAAAAAATAGAATAAGTCATCTGAGAACTCACTGATTCTAAGATACTCCTTTTAGCTAATAAAAACTGAATGATAACCAAGAATTTATTCTCATTAGCATTTACTTTCCTTATTTTGCCTATCTCATGAAGTTATTGTTCTGTGTTTAGGAAAAGATTTATTAGCTAAATAAAATAAAGTACCCAAATGAAAAAGTTATTAATTTTATTGACTTTCTCAGGATTACAAAATATCAAAAAAATAAAATAAAATAAAAGAAGCAGATATTTGGAAAACACTTCAATTTTTTCCTTCATCTATGCCTTACTTACTGTATGTTCATGTCCTCATGTAAAATAAGTCTAGCTCTTAAAACATCTCCATGCTTTCAAAAATAGTTGAAGCCAGAATTTGCTCTTCTAACTAACTTCACAAGCCAGTCTATTAAAAATGATGCTCTGCAAAAGTAATTCACAAACCCCACCTTTTGTATAGATTTTTAAGTGAGTCACAAATTTAGCCCTGGGAAAAGTGCTATTAGGATATACAACACACATAACGTGCTATTCATAAAGAATACTTTTCTGTTGAGAAATGTTTCCAAGAAACCGAATGATAGCAATGAGAATTAGAAAATGAGAGCACCCTTTTTAATAGTTAAATAAAAACAAAAACATACCATGATGAGATATTCGGCATCTGTTATGTTTGCCACCCATTTAAGATCCACCTTGGTCAGAAACCATGAGGCTCATGTAAACTGTAGAAATAACCACTGCCCTATAAACTAATTCAAAGAATAACAGAAACTCTCCACAAAGAGAGTAGGGTTTGCAATAGCATAATTATGAACCTATTGTAACAAAAATGCACCTACAACTGAATTAGTATCTTACTTTCACTGTGTGATTAAGAGAGAAAGATTAACGTTATTGTATAATTTAACTATGCAATTTAACTATGCAAATCCATGAGTGACCTCGGTTCTTAAAAGCATTTCCTAAATTATGGTAAATTATTTTCATTGTTATTTTGAATCCTGATAGACTTCTTTAATATCTCTAACTTTGGTGAGAGGAAACTTATTCTGACTTTCACATTACTACTATTTAATTAAGCCTAAATAGGTTTTCAAAAGTTTTATTCACTGAAAGTGATATGAAGACCTTCTTAAGAGTAACACAGACAAAATAATAAAATCAATATGCTGCATGACTTCCAGAGAAAAAATGTAGATAAATTCTATCACTTGACTTTATTAAGGAAATAAAAATACTTAAATCATTTAATTTAGTTATGAATTTCTAGATACATTTTTATTCATTTCTCCATGGAATACAGATAAAAAAGACTGTATAAACTCTTGTTTTCATAAATTTAATGGGTTTTAAATTATTGTATACAGATATATTGGGTCTTAATATGTGCATAGTTTCCTTCAGGCCCATTAGAGAAAGCAATCATATTTCATTTTCAAAAAGTCATTATCTCTTAAGAATGTCTCCTGAAGGGTTCTTAATACCTTGCATGAATATGCAAATACTCAAATGGATATCTAAAGTAGAGATCTCATATATATTTCATTCTCTGGCTTGAAGGTGAGAGTGAGTAGCATGACTTCATTTTACTAATCCCATTCTTGCTACATTGTGTTAATACAGATTTATGAACCAGAATAATGGTGAGTTCCTAATCTGAAAATGACACTCTCTTTTCATTGTGGGGGTTTGGGGGAATGGTGGATGGGGGGGATATCTTTATGCTATTTGATTATCTTGGGTAGACACAGATTTTCCCAAGTGAAGCTGGAAGTCTCAATACCATTAAGTATTAAGACTTGCTTATCAGATTCCAAGAGGCTTTACTGTGATGTATCTAGCCATGACTGTTTTGATCCTCATGCACACAATTGTACTGAGGACAGTGCCATGACCCTTTATTTTGGAGTTTTTCCATTATATTCTCTAGTGAGAAGTGTCATACTGCCATCTACAGACAACACTGTCCCTATTATAATCATCATTCCTCACCCAATTTTCCTCCAATCAGGAGTCATTTTGTTCTGATTTTCTACCAAACTTAAAATGAATCCATATATCTATTCAGATACTTCTGCAGAACATGATCAATTTGATCCCATGTTGAGTCAGTACATTCTGTAAAGTCCTACTTCAACTGAAAATAATTAAAAAATATAAAATTAGAAAGGTTACTTAGAAACTTGGATTACCTACCGGTCTGGTGTGTACAGACACAGGGGTCTTGAAAGTTGTCACTGGATAGCTGCACTCAGAAACGCTGTAGGGATCAGAACTGCTGGAGGAACACTTGGAGATGGAGTCACAGCCCACGAAGGTGTTATCAAGAGGCAGTTCCTGGATGATGTGGTGCTTTGAATTCAGGGGAGTCTCTGGCTGGATCTGGAAGGCAGGCTGTGGAGAGGCAGATTTGTAGTGCCGGGCCAAATCAGGGCTGTCAGGCTTGAAAGTAGTAGGTGTAGTGCCCCAGTTGTACTTGCCCATGGTTTGCTCTTCCAGTTCAATGGGAAGGTCTAGTGTGATGCTGTTTCCATCATTGTCAGCATCATCTGCCTTAGTTTCTTCAATAGTAACAAAGTTAAGCAGCAAGTTCTTAGGGGTATGCTTCTTCTTCTTCTTCTTCTTTTTCTTCATCACTATCATCTGCCTGTTTTCTGGGTTTGGAGTAACCCATTCGGAATTCTGCTTGTTTTTCTGAGCAGCCTTAAGGTGTGGTGATTGGCAGCATCTTACTACAGCAGTGATGAAAATAACAAGGATGACAGTTATGGTGCCTGCAACAATGGCAACCACGATCTTGACATAGTCACTGGATGGTGAGGATGTATCAGCTGTCTCAATATTTTGGGTCACTGGTGTTTCAATGTTTTTGCGCACCAATTCATAAATCAGTGTAGCATTGGTCACTGACTCATTCACAAATAGATGAACATTTACAACATTGAAGAGAGAATCAGGTTGCCCTAAGTCCTTGGCTTTGACTACCAGTTTGTGTAAACCAAGGTCTGCAAGGACACATTTATCCTTCAGTGTAATGTTGCCTGTTGCTTGGTCAATCATAAACAGACCTTTTGTGTTTCCTCCTACAATGCTGTAATGAAGCTCTGCATTCATGCCAGTGTCATTGTCAACAGCAACTACCGTGAATACCACTGTGCCTGGATTAGTGGATGGCAGAACCAATTCAAAGGAGTAGTTCGAAGAAGGGACAACAAAAACTGGTTTGTTGTCGTTGACATCAACCACATTTATGGTGACTTTGGCAGTTGAAGAACGTGATACCCTACCACCATCCTCAGCCTTTACATAGAAAGTATAAGATTCTTGTTTTTCTCTATCAAAGGAAATATTCGGTCGGATGACACCAGTCTGTGGATCAATGGTGAAGTCATCACTTGAGTCTAAAATGGAGAGAGTGACTGCAGAGTTTTCTCCATAATCAGGATCAGTTACAGTGATTAGTCCTACTGTGCCATGTCTTGGAAGGTTTTCTGGGACATAGAAGTTGTACTCATTGTGAGTGAAAATTGGACTGTTGTCATTCTGATCAAGAACAGTCACTAAGACTGTGGCATTGGTTATTAAAGGTGGCATCCCGTTATCTTTTGCCAGAACTGTGAATGAATATTTTTCCAGTTTTTCTCTATCCAGTTTCTTTGCTGCGGTCAGAATGCCTGTACGACGATCCAGGTTGAATTCAGATGGAGCATCAATGCCAAGCAGGTAGTTTATCTCAGCATTATGCCCTGTGTCTGCATCCGTTGCACTTATTTTTGTCAACTGGGTGCCAGGAGAGTTATTCTCAGGAACAGAAAGACTTATGAAAGGCTGAGTGAAAACTGGAGCATTGTCATTTTCATCTTTTACTTTGATGAGGAGCATGGATGATTGATTCAAAGGAGGTTTGCCAGCATCTGCAGCCAGTAATTTAATAGCATATTCTCTTGTGGACTCATAGTCAAGATATGCAGCAGTCTCTAGGAGGAACTGATTACTGAATACTGGCCTCAACCTGAAAGGGACTTCATGATCTGTAAAGCATGTCACCCTACCATTAAGGTCAGCATCCTTATCTGTCACAGTTATGAGTGCAATTTTTGTGTTGAGTGGAGCATTTTCTGAAAGAACCACAGTACCATTGATTGGATTGATGATATACCTTATGTCAATTGATGGGACATTATCATTGACATCTGTAACATTTACTAGCACCATTGATCTTGCTGGTATCAATCCACCATCACTTGCTAAAACCAGTAACCTGTGGTTTGGTGATTCCTCCCTATCCAGTGGTTCTTTGATTGTGATAAGTCCACTGGTGGAGTTGAGGTGAAATAGCCTCTTGGCCATGTTGGAGACTAGATTGCTGAAATAGAAGTGAATCCTGGCATTTTCACCTATGTCAGCATCTGTGGCATGAAGTTGTGTCACTGAAGTACCTACAGGAGCATTTTCTGGTATACTGACTTCAATCTCATTCTCCTTGAAGACTGGGCGGTTATCGTTTGTATCAGCAACACTGACTTGCAAAATGGCAGTACTGGATCTTTGAGGAAAGCCACCATCTTCAACCTTTAATTTCATTACATATGTATCTTTCTCTTCCCTATCTAGCTCCTTTTGAACTATCAATTGTGGCATCTTCTCTCCTTCTGGTGTTTCAATAACATCAAGCCCAAAAATACTTTGACCCTGGAAAACATAGAAGGAAACATTTTAGCTTATATTATTATTTAATGAGACCAGTTTTCAATTCCTTGAAGTCATATGACATAGGCTCAACTCAGAAATAAGTGCCAGAGACTTGAGTTCTAAATCCCAAATTCGTCAGTAACTAATACTGTCACCACAAACAAGATGCTTAACATCTCTACACATTTGTGAAATTAGAGTTGTGCTAGAAGATGTTCTAAGCGCTTTTCAGGTTGTAACATTTTATGGTGATAAATGTAACATTTATGTGAACTATTAAAGATTTCAAAAGGAAGAAGTATGTAGAATTTTAAAAAGAATTATCACTATGTTTCACATGGTGAATGAACTTATAAGTGAATTAAAAATGGTTACTCCAAATGAATTAAAATATCTTACTGTAGATTTCAGTTGTCTAGGACACATTTTCACCACCAGAAGTAACAATCAAGTATAAAATATTTATCCAAGACAAAAGTGTGTATATCTCATCTAATAAATACAGCTAATAACTTTGGCAGAGGGAGAAAATATGCAAACTCTGATAAGAATAAAACCTTGTGTAAAATACACAGACTTTCTTTTTTTTCCCCTATAGAAACAGGTGTTAAAAATGAAATTTTTGGGAATTCCCTGGTGGTTCAGTGGTTAGGACTCAGTGATTTCACTGCCGGGGCCCAGGTTCAATCCCTGGTAGGAGAACTAAGATGCTGCAAGCCATGAGGCCTGGCCAAAAAAGAAAGAAATTTTCTTGGAGATTAACAGAACAATGTTATTTAACTTCTATTTTTTTTTTTAATGAGCATGCACAATGGACTGAAACTAACATGCCAAAATGTCAAATTGGAAAATATAGCTATAGGAACAGTACTTATATTTTCTTTATGCCTATAAAGTCAGATTATGGGAATGTTTAAAATCAGTTTCCTCTGGTTCTGGCTTCCCTCAAAACCCTCAAGGAAGTGGTTCAATTAATATAAAACTGTAAAATTCTTAAAGTGCTTGGGCTCTCTTAAGTGCTACTGTTTATCAGCACACAGAGGATCTCATACTCTTGTATGTCTTTAAAATAGTCAAATAATTTTGATAAAGTCCAATTCATCAATAGAAAATAAAAAAAAAATTAAAGTCCCTTCTCTGAACTACAATAAGATAAGCCCTACACAGACAAACAGTGATCTTGATAGCTGATTGAGGAGTAGCATTCACTGGCTCTCAGGTGCAGTTCTAGCCAGTGTCACCTGTAGCACTTTGACAGAAATGAATAAGATAGAAAAGTACTGGAGCCTGTGAAGATCAGCAGATCTTAAGATTCCTAGTACATGGGTGATTTATGAACCCTTACGTACACACGTACACACGTGCACACACACACACACACACACACATAACCACACACTACAATTTTAATTATTCAATATATTTTTTAACATAAAAGTTGCTGAAATGTGCTGAAGATCAGTTATTGAGATCTCATCTATGTGCTCTGTCCTGAAAGAACAGGAGAGCATCTGAGGGTTTTTTCTCATTGTTCTGTCATACCAGTGTCTAAAATAAGATCCTAAATGTTAGAAACCAATGAACGATATCAGGTTTTCAGGGACCACTAGAATATACGGTGAGATTATATGGTCATATTATCTTTTATAACTTATCAAAGTGTTATAATTGCTTACATAAAATCTAGTACAATACTTAAGTACAACTACATTTTTCCTCATGAATTGCTTGAAGATATTTCTGCACTTTTTGGATTTTTGTGTGTTTAGATTCACTTACTCTTTTATTCAAATCCAGACCATAATATATCTTGTTGGAAGAATTAAATGTTTATTATGAAATTTAAGGTGGCATTTCAGAAATATTAATTAAAATCATCAGTTTGCTTCAATGTAATTTTAAAAAAAAATTCCTACGAGGTAACCAATGTGTATTAATCTTGGTTTTAATACATAAACTAAAATGAGCATTCTATCAATATTTTACTTATATAAACCAATAAACAATTTGCCTTTTCTTTGCCAAGGAAAATATTTTTCATGTAATATCTATCTACAAGTGTGAAAATTAGCAAATCTATTTTAAGAAAAAAAAGAATTTTACACCAATAATATTAAATATACATACAGTATTTACTATTATAATTTGATTTAGGTAAGCTTAGTGATTAATGATAATGTTATTTTTGTAATGATATTTCAAAAGGCCTTTAGGAAGGTTCAAATCTGGAATGTCTCACCTATGGGTAGAAAACATAGCTTCTGAATTGAACTTCACAGAAATCCATGGCATTTAATACAATTTTGTTAATTCTTGGCATGCCAATATTCAGTGGCTAATATGGTCACAGCATTCTTCTAGGCACTGGCGATATGGTGGTAAGTAAAAATATTTTGCTAATGTAATGGAAATTAAATTTTAGCTAAGATGAGGGAACATCAATAGCAATCTAAGTATCTACTGATGTTGATACTAATAGATTTATGTTAATTGAAGATAATTACATTTTTAATAAGGGCTATAAAAGTAGATTATAAAGAATTATTAGAGGTTATATAAGGGGGAACTAACATATATAATATAGCCTAAAAACAACAAGTGAATAACTTAAGTTCTTGAGTTTCAGACTCAATTATCCAATTTATGACTATAATACATCAGGGGAAAAGAATATGCTAGTTTTAATTTTATTCATTTATGTTTATGTATTTTGTGTTTGTATATTTAGAGTTTAGTCTTATGTGTTTGCCTGAATTTTGCATTGACCTTTGCTTTCCCAAGCAAATGAATGCAGGGTTATGACACTTGAAAAACCCAAGAACAGCATGTTTGCTGTCCTTAACTATCTTATGTGACGTGACAGTAATGTTAAAAGATAGATTTTTCAAATTTTCAAGATGATAATGAGATATACATACAATATAATGGACAATGTCCATACTGCTCTTCTGTCTTCTATGACTGCTCTGTCCAATATGACAGTGATTAGTCACAAGTATTTACATTTAAATTTTAATTAATTATAATTAGATTAAAAAAAATCAGTACCTTAGTCTCACTAGCTACATTTCAGTTCTTATAGCTACATCTGAGTAGTGGCTACTGCATTGGACAACACAGATATAGAACTTGTCCATTATTACACAAAGTTCTATTGCACTGGACTGTTCTAAGATGTTACATTTTTCTTTAATAAAAATCTATGTTCAGGTCAGGTGATTTTGTGCATACCACCCCCGCTCAGATATTTAGAGCTCTACAAATGACTTGCTAGTTTACATATTTAAATTTCAGAGTGGGCATGAAGATGGTGGAAGAGTAAGACATGGAGATCACCTTCTTCCCCACAAATACATCAGAAATACATCTACATGTGGAACAACTCCTACAGAACACCTACTGAACGCTGGAAGAAGACCTCAGACCTCCTAAAAGGCAAGAAACTCCCCATGTACCTGGGTAGGGCAAAAGAAAAAAAGGAAAACAGAGACAAAAGAATAGGGATGTGTCCTGCACCACTGGGAGGGAGCTGTGAAGGAGGAAAAGTTTCCACACACTAGGAAGCCCCTCGTGGGGGGAGACTGCGGGTGGCGGAGCGGGAAGCTTCGGAGCTGCAGAGGAGAGCACAGCAACAGGGGTGTGGAGGGCAAAGTGGAGAGATTCCTGCACAGAGGATCGGTGCCGACCAGCACTCACCAGCCCGAGAGGCTTGTCTGATCACCCGCCGGGATGGGTGGGGACTGGGCGCTGAGGCTTGGGCTTCGGTCGGATCCCAGGGAGAGGACTGAGGTTGGTGGCGTGAACACAGCCTGAAAGGGGCTAGTGTGCCACGGCTAGACGGGAGGTAGTCTGGCAAAAGGTCTGGAACTGCCCAAGGGGCAAGAGACTTTTTTCTTGCCTGTTTATTTCCTGGTGCACGAGGAGAGGGGATTAAGAGCGCTGCATAAAGGAGCTCCAGGGACAAGCGTGAGCTGTTGCTATCAGCTCAGACCCCAGGGACGGGCAAGAGACACTAAGACTGCTGCTGCAGCCACCAAGAAGCCTGTGTGCAAGCACAGGTCACTATCCACACCTCCCCTCCAGGGAGCCTGTGCAGCCCGCCACTGCCACCGTCCCGTGATCCAGGAACAACTTCCCCGGGAGAACACCTGACACGCCTCAGGCTGGTGCAACGTCATGTTAGCCTCTGCCGCTGCAGGCTCACCCCGCACTCCGTCCCCCTCCGTCCCCCTGGCCTGAGTGAGCCAGAGCCCCTGAAGCAGCTGCTCCTTTAACCCTGTCCTGTCTGAGTGAAGAACACATGCTCTCAGGCGACCTACACGGAGAGGCGGGGTCAAATCCAAAGCTGAACCACAGGAGCTGTGCGAACAAAGAAGAGAAAGAGAAATCTCTCCCAGCAGCCTCAGGAGCAGTGGAATAAATCTCCACAGTCAACTTGATGTACCCTGCCATCTGTGGAACACCTGAATAGAGAACGAATCATCCCAAATTGAGGAGGTGGACTTTGGGAACAACAATATATATATATATTCTTTTTTTTTCCCCCTTTTTCTCTTTTTGTGAGTGTGCATGCATATGCTTCTGTGTGATTTTGTCTGTATACCTTTGCTTTTACCAGTTGTCCTAGGGATCTGCCTGTCTGTTTTTTTTTTCTTTTTTTAGTATAATTTTCAGCACTTGTTATCATTGGTGGATTTGTTTTTTTGGTTTGGTTGTTCTCTTCTTTCTTTTTTTTTAATTACTTAAAAAATTTTAATAATTATTTTTTGTTTTTTATTTTAATAACTTTTTAATTTAATTTAATTTAATTTTATCTTTTGCTTTCTTTCTTTCTTTGTTTCGTCATTTATTTCTGAGCCATGTGGATGACAGGCTCTTGGTGCTCCAGCCAGGTGTCAGGGCTGTGCCTCTGAGGTGGGAGAGCCAAGTTCAGGAAATTGGTCCACCAGAGGCCTCCCAGCTCCACATAATATCAAATGATGAAAATCTCCCAGAGATCT